ATATATATATATATATATATATATATATATATATATATATATATATATATATATATATATATATATATATATATATATATATATATATATATATATATATATATATATATATATATATATATATATATATATATATATATATATATATATATATATATATATATATATATATATATATATATATATATATATATATATATATATATATATATATATATAGGGAGAGGTTCTAATAAAAACCTAGAGAACTAAAAACCAATCCTAGCCCTACATTCTATTTCATCCAATGGTCAAGATTGAAAATGGCAGAATTGAAATTAATTGAACATCAGCTGACAAAATACCAATAAAAGGGGTAATTTAGGAAAAGCAATTTTAATTTTTCACGCTGTAATTAATTACAAGAAGTTGGCGTACACTAATATCGAAGAAAAAACGTTTCAGTTTAACTACATTTTGAATACAGTTTCATCTCCTCTTTACCCCAAGAACTAAACTATTCACATTCCGTCGATTTCTCAAAACTTAGGTTACTTTCATCATCTAATTACAAATCGAACGAAGGCGACCAGCAACACTTCGACTATGGAGATGAAGAAAAACAACACAGAGACTCCAAAACCCTCGTCTTCAAGAACGGGTAAAACGATTCAAACCCTCGTATTAAAAATGTAATTTTTTTATCAAACTTTGAAAATTTTTCAGCGATTCAGTGGGGAAAGGTTCGTAATTTAGACATGAATCACTTGCATGTTGTTGAATACTTTTTTATTTTATTTTTTTAGCTTTCCCATAATATGTTACCGATGCATGTTCTAGTTTAGGGTTTTATTTTTTTACATTTGCCTTTATCTGGTTAAAAACAAACTAAGTTTTTCTTAATATTGCAAGATGTTTTCATTTGTTCTAAATGGGTAACGATTAATTATGGTTGTTTGGATTCTGCAATATGCACTCTACTTTAATCTCCTCGATTCACTTGAGTGAAACGAGATTCACTGCAGTGAATCTCGATTCACTTGAGTGAATAGAGATTCACTGCATTGAATCGAGATTCACTTGAGTGAATCGAGATTCTCTATGTTTGAGTGAATACAAATTGACTCCACTAAGTAGCTATTCACTTTAGTGAATAGAGATACATCCAATAAATCGCGATTCACTCTAGTGAATCGAGATTAAATGCACTGAATCTCGATTCACTAATTAAACCATATATGGTTTATGTATATTAACAGTGAAATTAAACCATATAATTAGTGAATCGAGATTCTGTATGTTTGAGTGAATACAAATTGACTCCACTAAGTAGCTATTCACTTTAGTGAAAAGAGATACATCCAATGAATCGCGATTCACTCCACTGAATCTCGATTCAATGCAGTGAATCTCGATTCACTCGAATAGAGATACATCCAATGAATCGCGATTCACTCTAGTGAATCTCGTTTCAATACAGTGAATCTCGATTCACTCAAGTGAATCGAGATTCACTGTATTGAATCGAGATTCACTAGAGTGAATCGCGATTCATTGGATGTATCTCTATTCACTAAAGTGAATAGCTACTTAGTGGAGTCAATTTGTATTCACTCAAACATAGAGAATCTCGATTCACTAATTATATGGTTTATGTTACTACAGTGAAATTAAACTGTAACGATGATCAGTCTTTTGTCCTTGTTGTTTGAGGTGAACGAGACACTGAAAAAAATGTAACAAATGAATTGCGATATGGATTATAATATCTATATTCAATAAGGTGATTAAACCTTCATGGCTTGCCATGCATTATACAAAGTCTGTTATCATTAAAAAATGAATGTCATCGGTTTAGCAGGTCTACGATCTAGTTCAAGAATAAAAAAAAGCATGTGTTGAGTTGGTTGAGGTAAAACCATACCTCAACAAAGACAACACCGGTTGTGACCATGCAAACCAATGACGATGACTTCATCAACCCCCAAATAATCCTGAGCAGTGAGGAAACATTAAAACGTACAAGGGATGAAGAGAATGAACAGACCCAAGAAGAATGAAGAGAAAGGTGGTTGTTACTAAAAAAATTTTAATTTTTTTTGTGGTATTCAATGATGGATAATTTGATCTAATTATATATTTTCCTCACTGGAGAAGCTTGTGAAAAAAAATATGTGGCTCCAACACTGACGATGACCTCGTGAACACCCAAATAATCCTGCAGCTGACGAAACATCAAAGCGTAGTAGGGATGAAGACAATGAACAGATGACAAGAGGAAGGAAAAAGATGAAAAAGGTTAATGTACTAAACATCTTTTTACATTTGTGAACGATTAACTCTGGTTGTCTGGATTCTGCAATATGCACTCTACTTTAAACTCCTCGATTCACTTGATTGAAACGAGATTCAATGCAGTGAATCGAGATTAACTGCAGTGAATCGAGATTCACTGCAGTGAATCGAGATTCACTGCAGTGAATCGAGATTCACTAGAGTGAATCGCGATTCATTGGATGTATCTCTATTCACTCAAGTGAATAGCTACTTAGTGGAGTCAATTTGTATTCACTCAAACATAGAGAATCTCGATTCACTAATGTGAATCCTGATATTCACAAGAACATTTTTTGTTATTAACTGATGGATAATTTGTACTAATTTTCTTTTTTTTGTCACTGCAGAAGTTTTTGAAAAAAAAATGAGAGTTCTGAACCTAAGGAGTTGACTAGGATACGGGTCTCTCCAAAGATATTCTCTGATATGGTTTTGTCACTCTCTGACTCCCAAAAAGAATGGGTGAGACTAGCTGGACTTGGAGGTCTTTTACAATTTGGATTAAAGGAACTGCCACATATGTTGGGGTACCAGATTCTGCAGTCCTTTGACAGTGAATCCGTTGCGCTTAATCTTCCCAGAGGATCAATCGGTATCACAGAGGAAGATGTACATCAAGTGATGGGATTACCTCTAGGCAGGAAGCGTATACCAGCTTCCAGTACTGGCAAGTCAGCATTGGTGGATGAATGGAGGGGTCAATTCACAGACAGATTTGGTTGGAAAATTACTCCAGGGGCTGTGTCTGACAAACTAAAGCACAATTCTGATGTTAACCTGTTTTTTAAACTGAATTTCTTGGTTCTCTTGCACAACATCATTATCCAATCGCTTAGCAATCCGTATGTCAACCAACGGATTCTAGTACTTGGTGATAATGTTGATCAGTGCTCTCAATACAATTGGTGTTCTTTATTACTTGACTCAATGATAGATAGCCAAAAAAAGTGGAAGGTTGACCCGACAAAACAATTCTACACGGGTCCTCTTGCATTCTTGATTGTAAGCCACTTGTATAATATTGATTTATTTTTACATTACTGTAGTTAAAGTAGTTTTACTTGATGATTACTAATTGATGTGCTTTATTTCTTATCTCCGTCTTTCTAGCTGTTCTATGCCGATCGGGTTCTGTTCAAAGGTAGGAGGTTGGTTGAGAGAACAACCCCTACATTTTTAGGATGGACTGACTTCGCCTTGAAGGAAAGGCAGTCAGAGGAAATAAGAACAAATTCATTTGGCAAAGGTGCATTTACAGAGAGGGTTGAACTTCCAGATTCATCTCGAATGCAGAGTGCTACTGGAAACTCTCCTAAAAGTGTTGATACAATTAGAAAGGTTAGCAAATTAAGTTGCAATACTTTGTTTATTCAATTTAATCTCGAATAAGTAGGAGTGAATCTCGATTCATTTAAACTGAATGTCGATTAAGATACATTGAATGTAATCTGGATTCACTACTACTGAATCTTGATTCACTACTATTGAAATGAATCTGGATTCACTATTACTGAATCTCGATTCATTGAAGTGAAACTGGAATGAATCTGGATTCACTACTACTGAATCTTGATTCAAATACATTGAATGTAATCTCAAACTATCGAATCTTGTCTATCGCCATGTTAATAATTTATGGTGACCAATGTCTGTGATATTTGTAGGCGTCAAAAAATGTTTACGGACATCCAAACACCTCTCAAGACAAAATAGAAGAACAATATACACGTTATCATGCAGCACTGTGGCGCGGCAGGACATGGTGCCGCGGCTAAGGCGCGGCAACCCATGGTGCCGCGGCTAAAGCGCGGCAGCCCATGGTGCCGCGGCTAAGGCGCGGCAGCTTTCAAATGTACTTGTGCAGGGGTGGGGACATCGTGTAAATACCTGTGACGATGAAACAGCTGTGGGAAACATTGTTGATGATACCCCTAATGTGAGCACCAAGATGAGTAGAGATATGCATGGTTCCCCTGTTGTTGATCCAATATCAGGGGAGATACCACAAACACAAGTCTCCCCAAATTTTATTAAAGAAGTTGATAAGATTATAGAGTCTGTTAGCATGAAAAAGGATGACAGACCAGTGAGACGGAAGATCAGCGAATGTAGTACCCCACAGACTGAAGAACCTAGTTTTTCTCTTGGGCTGACACAAGATGATCAGACTGAATCAGTGGAAATGGTTGATGTTGTTCAGATTGCTAAAGCTTCTGAATCTGAAATCATTAATGAATCTGTACAAAGAACTGATAAACAATCTGAAGATGCTGCTGCAGTTAATGAATGTAAACGTAAGAAAGTTCAGGTGGCCGAAAATAAGGGACATGCGGGAAAGGGGAAAGAAAAGAGGATGGTAAAGCTTGCAACGTCTCTTCGGTCACCATGGGTGCAGAGGGTATCCCAAATTACTGCTAGGCAAAGTCAGCTGGAAAGCATCATATGGGATTGGGTCCATAGAGAAATAAGGCATTCAGGTGATGATTCCGCTGAAGAAGAGAATTTGTAAGTTCTGAACACTTATTTGATATTTTATTATTAGTTGTGAGACTCGCTATTGTTGCTGTTTTTTCAGTGAAATGGTATTTTGTCCCTTTATTAAATTGAATATTGTTACTGTTTTTTCAGTGAAATGGTTTTTAAGTGGAGACAAATTGAATTCCTGCTGAGGACG